GGCATAGGGAAATTAACTCTTGTAGATTTTAAAGAACAAATGTTTTTTTAGATAATTTGTTGAACATGAATAAAGGTCAGCCCCTCTATGGCCATTTATTTTACCCTGTGGTAGGAGGAGCAACAGCAGTTCACTTTACACAGAAATAAATTACTTTAGTTTAGACTTTGTGAACCTTTTGTACCACACATGAACACGTAATCATGTGCACATAATGGCTACACAAGGCTCACAGTTGATGCATTTTTGAAGTTATGTATTAATCTTGATAATTTATTAGCATACAACTATATATGTGTAGGGAGCCTGCCTTGAGCTGCTGTGATCCCTATTAAAATTTTAGTATTTGCAGCTAGGCTGTAACCAGCCTGAACTGAGTTGAGGATATATATTTGGGAAGACCTTCCAGAAGAGTGCTTCCTTCCCAAGCTTTGCCTGGAGAAGGTGTCAGTGTGAGGGATCCCTGTCCTTGCCTTCCGGGCTTTGGCCTGGGAAGAAATCCATCTGAGTACAGTGTTCTTGCCTCCCAGGCCTATTGCGTGGGGAAGGTGTGAGTGCAGGGCCCCTTGCCTCTCAGGCCTGCTGCCTGGGCAGGCTATAGCTGCTAAAAAGTCAATTTCAGGTTTCCCAGTACTGCTGACTTGCAAAGGAAGCTGAGGGGGAGTTCTAAGTGTCCTGGTTAGCCGGTTGCTGGTCTTGGCTTAAAGTTCCACAAGTAGCCTGTGAGAAGGGCTGAAGATACTTAAAGAGTTTAACAATACTAGAAAATTCTACTGAACGGAGGACATTTTTTTGCGGCTGTTTTTGGTCATCCTGTCCCCCAACTCTCTATCACCTAGACATTTGAACTAGTAAAATATGCAAACAAAAGATTGACGAATTGGAAGTCTATCTGTCCATCAAAGTCGGTGGGTTGGTGAGTGTTTGGGTGCAGCTAATGGCCAAATCACCAGTTGAAATGTTAGTAGGGCCGTAAGATCCAGCAGCTCCTAACAGGTCAGTGCTACGTATGGAATACTGATGGGCACTGGCAGGGTTGTGCAAGTTTACATTTTTATGTGCAAAATAAAAATGTAAGGTATCTGTAAAACATAAATATGGGTGTCCTGGATATTTTTGCATTTTATCCATCAAAAAAATTAAATTGAGTCCATTGACTGGATCTCCACAACTGCTTTCTAATGATAAAAATGATTGCTGTATATTGTGATATGTAAGGAACTTATTAAAGCAAACCTTAAGTTAATGAGAGGTCTGTTTTATTAATGATTTATATAGCACTTATTTAGCACAGTACATATAAGTGAAACACGTGAGGGTGGGTACTGCAGATAATATAAACATGTAGAATATTTCTCCTGACAGGTACATGCAGTTTTGTATAATATTTATTTATTGTTTCTGTATATAACAATACAAACATATAAACATGTAAACATCCTTTTAAAAGACTCTCCCGGGGAGAAATCCAATTAAAAACAGAAGAGGAAGATATTCATAAATTCTTCCTAAAACAGCCACCATAAATTTCCCTTCCCATTGGTATTAAAACCATTCTTCCCCCCTAGGGTCTCAACTAAAAAAAAAAGCAGGAAAAACGACAACCCAAAATCCTTCCCATCCCTAAATCACCCAAAAGAAAACCAAACAAGACAAATTGGAAAGAAAAAAAAAAAAAGTCACAGTCTCATCTCCTCCTTCCCTCCTTCCTCTCCCCTCCTCCAATGGCCATGTAAAGGAGCCTCACATTCCTGGTAAGCACATGGTAGTGATGTCAGACTCTATCCATGGTTTCCATGTTACCATACATTGTGGGTACCTGTCCTGGGATCGTGCTACTAACTCTTCAACCCTTCTTAAAAAAAAAAATTCTTTGACCCAATCTTTAATTTCAGGGGTATCTTGAGACCTCCAATATCTAGCTATTACAGTTCTTGCAGCAAATAAAAAAAATCAAAATAAGCCTTTCTTAACTTCCTTAATTGGTCCTGGTATAATAGTCGACAGGTACATCCAGTTGTAGAGGTAAACATATAGAGTGATAACCACATACAATAGGATTAGGGAGCTCTGGCCATAAATAATGTATTTCTTCTGTAAACTGTCATTGTAGCACTTTAAAACAGGTCACACAGGTTCCTCTGAGTATGGGGATTATGGTCAAGGAGGGCAAGAGGAGATGCAACAACTGTTGTTTAAAGAGAACTTCTTGGCTGAAGGCTTTACAAGAGCAGATATCCAGAGTAGCATAAATATTGCAGATTCCAGCAGCACGATGATGTTACAGCTACAGCACATGGGGGGTGATTTACTTAAGACAATTAGGTTGTTCACTTTGCAAGGGATATTTTACTTTACAAGGGGAGTTTCCTCTCTAGTTTAGTGAATGAGGTGAAGCTCTACCCAATCCTATGCAAGCAAAATACTGTTTTTTTTATTTTCCTTGCACATCATTGAGTATTCTTTTCAAGTGAAATTTTACCCCATTCACTAAGCTAAGAGAAAATTCCCCTGTAAAGTGCAAATTCCTTTGCAAAGTGAACAGTCTATTTACCTTTAGTAAATCAACTACAATGTGTTCTAACTAAACCCTGACTGAGCGAACATGTAGCCAGCCATTGCAGGACACTCCTTTGGAAAATGTTACTTTTCTGGCTGTTATTTTGATCCAAAGGCTTTAATGTTTTCTGAGTCATTGACCTGGAACAAGTATGCAGATCAGGAATTCAGAATTTTTAATTTCAAAAGCTACATGCTTGGTCAATGCCTCAAAAATAATCAAAACCAGAGATAGCCATGAGTATTTTAGGGGGAGTCACTATATTTACAATATGGTGCATATGCAATGAGGGGAATTTATCAAAACTGGAGCAGACAAAATCTGGAGCAGATGTGCATGGCAACCAATCAGCTTCTCTCTACAGTTTGTTTAGTTAAGATTTGAAAATGAAAGAGAGAAGCTATATCCAGAGTAGCATAAATATTGCAGATTCCAGCAGCACGATGATGTTACAGCTACAGCACATGGGGGGTGATTTACTTAAGACAATTAGGTTGTTCACTTTGCAAGGGATATTTTACTTTACAAGGGGAGTTTCCTCTCTAGTTTAGTGAATGAGGTGAAGCTCTACCCAATCCTATGCAAGCAAAATACTGTTTTTTTTATTTTCCTTGCACATCATTGAGTATTCTTTTCAAGTGAAATTTTACCCCATTCACTAAGCTAAGAGAAAATTCCCCTGTAAAGTGCAAATTCCTTTGCAAAGTGAACAGTCTATTTACCTTTAGTAAATCAACTACAATGTGTTCTAACTAAACCCTGACTGAGCGAACATGTAGCCAGCCATTGCAGGACACTCCTTTGGAAAATGTTACTTTTCTGGCTGTTATTTTGATCCAAAGGCTTTAATGTTTTCTGAGTCATTGACCTGGAACAAGTATGCAGATCAGGAATTCAGAATTTTTAATTTCAAAAGCTACATGCTTGGTCAATGCCTCAAAAATAATCAAAACCAGAGATAGCCATGAGTATTTTAGGGGGAGTCACTATATTTACAATATGGTGCATATGCAATGAGGGGAATTTATCAAAACTGGAGCAGACAAAATCTGGAGCAGATGTGCATGGCAACCAATCAGCTTCTCTCTACAGTTTGTTTAGTTAAGATTTGAAAATGAAAGAGAGAAGCTGATTGGTTGCCATGCACATCTGCTCCAGATTTTGTCTGCTGCAGTTCTGATAAATTCCCCTCAATGTATATACAATACAGTTTTCCTTTAAGCGTAAAGTAAATCTGTAGTAAGGGAAAGCACAGCAGCAATGCTGATAGCCAAAGTTTCCTGCACATACCATTGTCAGTTTTTTTTATAGCATTAGTTTTTTTATAACTTGGTTTTGGGATTCCCAGAGAGCTCTAGAAAACCTCTAAAAGTATATGCAGGTACCTCTGGATACCTGCATACACATTCTGCAAATATTAACTGTAGCAAGGAAACTGGCATATTTGGATCACTCCTTCCTACCTCCCACGCTTCACAGTTGGTTGGTGAGGTCACCTATTACATTAAGTAGCCAATAACAAGGCACAGGAAGTGGTCCGACAAACTTACTTCCTTTTCTATTGTCAGTATTTTGCACAACTGTGTGTTCTGGTTTTCTTACATTCCAGGATGCTGTAGAAGGTATTTTGCAAGTGTTAATTTTATCTAGCAAGTCAGAGCTTTTACCTGCCCTCTTCTTTGCCTCAGGCCTTACTGTTGGTTAATGAGGCTGCCTATTTCACTGAGGGGCAACAGTGAGGGGCAGACTAAAGCACCTAATTCTTAGCTGAAGATGGTATTTGTAAGGCTGGGTGTCTGCAATAGCAGTTGCCACTTTTTATCATTTGGGCCAGTACAGGTATTCATTCAAATAAAATTAAATATATGAGAGTCCCTTATATGGACAGTTTTTTTATATTTGCTTCCAAACATGAAACCATTAGAGATAGCCATAGACACAATGGGGGGACATCTGTCCGTATGTAATCATACAAAAAACAATTACCTGCAATTTGGGATAGATGATTGTCCCTGAACACAGATTGCATTCAGGGACAATCACCTATCCTAAATCACAGGTAATCATAATGTACGATTACATGCGGACAGCCACTGTTAGTCAATTGAATGGGCGCAGTGCCCACATTTGAACGCACCCGCCTGGGATTTGGTAGGTTCTTGTCACAGAAATCCGCAGCCGCACTTATTAGCCCCGTGTATATGCAGCCTAAAAAATATTTATCAGTCCCAATTTTCCTTACTTGACATGTAACAATGCTCCTTCTGACCACAAAGCGGAGGACAGCTGTGAACCACAATAGGTTGGTATGGCGAGAGAGTGGGATGAGTTGTAGAAAGCTGAAGAAGAAAAAAAAAAGTGTAACCTGATTCTGGTGATTTATGAACTGGGTGTTCACTATTGCTGAGCATTGGCAGGACTGGCCTAGGGGAGGGGATTGAGGACTTAGCATTAGAATACAGGCTACAAGCACCTGAGTTTAAATCGAAGTAGCTTAGCATCCGATCACAAACGTGGAGCTGACATGAGGGCAATTTCCAAACTTCCCTGGGATCTGTGTGGCCTCAGATAACACACACACAGGATATATATACAGCTGAGTCCCGGAACGCAGTCTATGGTAAGCTGATCTGAGGTTAATCTACAAAAGTTATGGCTGGAATTCCTCTAATCTGTATATCTCAGCAAGAAAACCGGGGTCTACCTTTAACCCAACTTTAAGGAGCAAACACAATTTTGGTTAAAAATGTTTCCGCTTTGACGCAGTTTATTATTAAGTTTTAATGCAGGTATAGGGTATGTCATTTGCAGATCCATTTTGTACAAATTTATGAAATACAGAAAGAAAAATAGATGCATTTGGGGGAATGTTTTAAAGCAATTGAGAGTTTTAGCCTCTTAGATCATTTCTTCAATGTGCAAATCTGTTTAGCTGCTCCTTTTACTCCCTTTAACAAGTGCTCCCATTTTGACCAGAGCTTGCACTATTTTCCCGATTGCGCCTGTTTTGCGCCTATTTTACACGTGTTTTGTGAAAGTCCGCAACTGTTTACATCTGCAATTGTTCTGGGCTGTCTGAAACTGGAGCATCACCTAACAAAACAATTGCTACTTAGGAAGTCACCAAGACCACTTCTTCAAGAAGCGACAGTTAAGCTTTTTACCCGGAGTTATGAATTTTCTTCCCTGGAGTCCATTTAATCTAATTTATGAACAACATTACACTAGCAACATAAATCTGGCGCCAATTTATTCCATGCAACCATATGCGATTTCAAGCACCCGCAATTGCTATGATAAATTCCCCCCATTGTTTCTTTACAAATGTCTTGTACACAAGCAGTCAACAAATATTTCCCATCAAGTGACTGCATGCTATGCTGCTAAATGTTCTATGAATAGATGTGACTGTGCTGAGTTGAGGTCAGGTTTTAATGTAAAGGAATTGTGTCTCAGATGAATGCTTTGTATTCTTAGAAGGTGTCTTGTCGGGAAATCCCGATTCTTTATAACAGATTGTGTACCTTAATTATAATATATATTAATAAGCATAATATTTTATGCAATGTCATAGTTTGCTGTGGTGCTATAACAAGTGAGTTTCCTCATTCATTCATGTTCCTTCACTGTTAAGTTTGTACCAGACTGTAAAGCAGATCCCAAAAACATTGCTTTTCCACTGCTGGTTACTCAACCCTGACAGCAGAAATTTAAATCAAAAGCAATTTGTACATTGCTTTAATGATCTTCATAAATTATCTGCCAAGAGGGGTTCTTGTAGAACATTTGTGATGATTATCTGGCTCTGTTTTGGTTACCTTTGGCTTTTGGTGCAGTGGGAGATGTTATCTTGGTGCTTTGAAGGGTAGATGTGCTGTTGAATGATCACTCCCATTGTCCTCTGAATGGTGTGGGTGGCCGATGGTCCCTTTCACACAGTCTGATGTGGGGGGGATCCATCCATTGATCCCCTCCTGATCGTAACGAATGTCACTTATGTGGCATCTGTATCCGTCTAGTTTTTTCTTCCATCTTGTGATTGAGGAAAGAACTGAAAATACCGGAAAATACCGGACTCGGACCCATGTTGGTCTATGGGAAATAAGATATAATCAGACTTGTGTCGATCAAGTTGGGGGTAACTGGATGTAAACGTACACCCCGTCCATTTAGATCTGGCTGCCCATAGACTAACATTGGGTTTCCAATGAGATCTGCCTGAAAAACTGACAGGCGGACCTGATCGGAAAGCCAGTGGGAAAGGATTTGTACTGTGCAGATGGCCCATAGCTATCAGATTTAGGCATCATAATGATTAGCCTAATACTGGAAGGAGGCCTGAGTGAAAAGTGTATTTATAATTGCAGCTTTAAGGCCCGTGCGCCCAGGTGTATTAAGATACCTCCAACTATGCTGTATCCCTCTATATTATATCCAGTGTAAAAAAAAAAATGCTTTTTGGCTTGAAATTACAAATAAGTAAAAATTGCATTTACATAATACATAATATTACATAGTAATTACATTGATGCACGTTTACGCACGTACAGCATATGTGCAAATAAACTAATTCTATTGGCTAGAATATTAATTCCACTTGAATTAATTTAGGCACATACAAACGTGTTTACATGCGTTCAATTTTGCCAGTAAGCACCACTTTGAAGGAAGGTGTGAGGTATTATTTCTTATACCCCTGAATACTGCTCTAAAATAGGGATCTAAATGCCACATTGTGCATAGACACATTGGCAAAAGCAGCCTTTTTTGTTTTGCACATCTGCTTGAGGCCTTATTTTGTCTTAGTTTAAAATGTACAAATAGTAAAATGCACAATAAGATGAATGAAATATGAATGAGACCAATACTGATGTTAAATATTACAGCACACTTTTTTGGGTGTTTTGAACGGATTGCATGTCTTCAGCCTGAGCTGGGTGTTTACTCATACCACAAGTTAGCTTAGGTGATCTCCAGGCATCATCTGGAAAGATGTGTGCAATGTTGATCCTAATGCTCCCATGTGTGGAGGGCAGGTCAGGTAATAGCCTTAGGCCTGGGAGCAGCTATGTCTATTATAAGGCTTTCACCGCTCTTCATGAGCAGACAGATTTTTTTTCTCATCCTTTACACATCATCTCAGCTAGATTATGGCAGCTGAAGGCACTTGTATAAGACTAGCTCTTTATCATTTATTCAGTCTGTTTTCATGTTAAATATGAGTTTGAAGCTTGCAAACAGTAAAATTAAAAAAAATAAACTCCACTGCTACCCTGAGGCATGTGCCAATGACATCAACTTCTTCCCTTCTCTGCATAATGAAAGGAGTTGTAAAGTCCCAGCAAATACAATCATGTTATAACATCAGCATTGTAATATGAATACATACTAGAGTTGTTTTTGATAATGCAATCAAAACTTACTGAAAAAATCCCTTTTATGTAGTGAGTGCTGCCTTCAGTCTACCCATCACTGTCATTAACTTCCTGAAATCCCAGAGTTCTTTGCTTCTTTTTCCCTGCTGCTTGATGTGATGCAATCTCAAATGTTTGCTACTACATTGCCCATAATACATTGCATCCAGCAAGCAATGACAATGTTACTTTGTTCAGATGTTAAGTCGTAGTTCAGAAGACAGAAGTTGCATTGAGGAAGTATGTGCTACGGGCATCTTCAGTAAGTAAGCTTACAAACTTCTAGATGGATATGGTTATTAGGAGTGGCATAGAACATATACCATTTTATTATAGAAATGCATATTTATGTTTAATTTGTGACCTTAGATTTCCTTTAAATAAAATGGAATGTAACAAATATATATCTATTTAGCACTGCAGAGAAAATTTTTGATGTGTTGATCCGAATGCAATGCAGAATGCTGCTGTCATATGACAGAACTTAGCATATACTTGGCACGTTTTTCCAGCCCCCAAGCACAACTGTGTGTTTTGTTGTGCATTTTGGAAGAGCAACAACTTGCAACTCAAAGAATCCCATTATTTTCACCGATGCCCATTCACACCAGGGCGTCATGTTGCTATTACAAGTACATGAACCACCCACTCTCTTTTCTCTTTCAGTGTCTCAGCTCCTCTCATTGTTGTGACTACACTATTTTATCTATCAGATGAGTTGTCCCATAGATGCATGGTGCCAAGCCCCTGCACACCCAAATTCCCTATTCTCTACCCCTCTTGTAAAGCTTCACCATGACACAGTTACATGTACTGCATAGGGCCATGGTTCAATTTCCGCATCACCGGAAGACTGGTGGTGCCGTAGACAGCAAATCCAAAAAGCAGCCTATCTTTTCCAGAACCTGGAGCTGGGCTGTTACTGCTCCATATTGTGCTGTGGGGATTGCCAATTTTTACTTTTCTTCATTGTTTTATTATCTCCTGTTTTGACATAAGATTGTATATGAGCTCTATTCAGGCAGAATTGCACGTTTCTGGCTCAATAGACTTCATTAGGAGCACCAGAAATATTCCTTCTCCTCCTAGTAACTAGCTTTCCATTGGCTAAAACAACATTTGCTCAAACCTGAAAATGCACCAAAAAAACATGCAAAATAAAAACAAAAGCTTTAACATCGCCTGAAAACACTCACACTCAAGTGGGAACAGGGGCTGATCTAATAAAGATTAACAAAAGGAGAGAAACAGTAAATGACACATTAACAGTTTGGCTGGACCTGTTAATAGTTGTTTTTGGCCTTGTGATTGAATATGCTGAAGAGTTGGTGTTGCCTTAATGAGCCAATGAGATTTTTTCTTTTGATTAGTTGGAGAGATCCTCAGATAAAGTATATCAGCACAGCGTGGACCACTGTAAACCGTGTATCAACATACTACCCACTTGGGTCAATTTACTATCCACTTGGATTAACATACTATTCATTTGGGTCAACATACTATCCACTTGGGTAAACATACTACCCAAAAACAGAATGGAAGCTTTACACAGATTAGGGATTAGCTGACCTTTTAATTCTGTGGGTCTTAACCATCATTTTGTAGACCACTGTGGTCTACACCCAGTTTTCAGCTGGTCTGCAGTAACAGAGCGTGCAAAAGGTCAAACTGGTACCATCAAATTAAAATAATAATATTTCAGTTAATATGCTTATTTTTTATCTTTACAAAATTTAGTTTACAACAAATTTCTGTTAATTTTCACTGTAATCATTCTGTTTAACAAACTTGTATATTGCTCTCTACTGTACAACATCAAGAGAACTGGAAAGCCATCTTTGACACTGAACAGATTGAGTATTATGCTAATGTTTCCTAAACGTTTCCTAAACCTGAGTTTGCTACATAGGGTCCCCACAGAGGTACAGATGGGAGGTAAAACCTCTGCTCATTCTTGAACCCACAAGGTGCACTTCTGTACCTTGTGAAAAATGAAAGAAATCTTTGGCAGTCCAAAGAATTAGTTACTACCCAGCTGAACCTAGCAGTCTATGTTCTGCTGTCTATAACTTTATTTTATGGCCATTTACATTTTTATGGGTTGCATCATTAAAGTGCATTGAAGTCATCCATGGTGTCACACAACTTTTACACTGCTGCTTACAGCCCTGTGATATCTCCACTCCCGCTACACAAAACCCATTCC